AGGTTCCAACTCACCATCAAACTCAGAAATTTGAAGTTGAACACCATCACCTTGATTGGATTGTAAAGCTTGCACTATTCGGTCTTCCCACCGCTGGTTTTTATTCCTTCCATGCTGATCACCTTCAGGTTGCTCAATGTCTTCACTTGATTCTTTACTAATAATGTTAGTGAGTTGTTCATCAACTCTAGGAGCTTGCCTTCTTCTTCCTAGCCTCAAATCATTTGCTACGTCACCATCCCTTGCAGCATTTTAAGCTATAAGTTGAGCAGGATGTTCAATCTGTTCTTGCAGTCCTCTTATAGCCTCTTGGAAAACTTCTACAGTGACATGTTGTGGTCTTCTACCACCCCTACCACGACCACCCTTTGCAGCCATGATAATATAGAAAAACACAAGAAGGGGATGAACTTTGAAGCAAACCCAAGGAAAGAACTTGCTCTGATACCACTTGATGTGGACAGAAAGACAAGTTACATGCAGTACCTCAAGTATACAGCAATAAGCACAAAAAATACCAAGCTGAAAACAGCAAAATAAGTTGGATTTTTAGGGTTTCAGACCTGAACCTGAAGCAAAACTCCTCCTGGAACGGTTCCGCTACAGTAGCAATGGCAGCAAGCTGGCCTCCCGTCGGACGCTCAGCGATGGAGGGATTGGAAGTTGCCAAAATGGGTCGACTCCTCAAAACCCAAGCTCCCAATGCTTGAAGACCCTAGCTGGGCTGAGCTACAGCTCAAACAAGAGAGAAAGAACTAAAAAAAGACCCCTACAGAAACAACCCCTTTCTTTTTTATAAAATTCACTGGCTTGCTGGACAAGCTAGTTAAAAATATTTACACATAAGCCCCTAGAAAGTTTCCCTCTCACCAACAACTCCTTAAGAATAAAACTAACTTCAAATGAACCCTTAAAAAATAACTTTTGTTACAAAAAGACCCAAGAGACTAAAACCCAACAGAAATGTACCCAACTGCCCCTGCTCAAAAAACTGACTTATAAAATGACGAAAATACCCCTGGTCCCAAACTATCAACAATGCTACCCATAAACGACAATTTGGGATCCTACTACAAGAATGCAAAACAGAATACATACACACATTTGTTCTTTTTTTCTTTTTTTTTTTCTTCTTTTTTTTGCCTCATCATGGAGGGTGCCACAGTCTCCTAAATAGCCCAGCCAGGAAGGAGAGCTTCAGACCCTCCCACTATGGAGTTGTAGAAGGATTTAACTGAAAACTCCCCGCTTCTGTTCCATCTCCACCCTAAGGTATCCTCCGATTGCAGATTCAACACATGAGACTGAAGCGAAGCTAGGAGATTTTTTTTTGATCAATAGCGAAGCTAGGAGATTTCCAACCTGCTGAATCTCCCAGTCATTGAAATCCCTTCTGAAGGCTGGAACCCAGCATATAGCATTGCCCCTCAACACAAAGGTATCAGCTACCATTGCCTCTTTATCTACAGCCAGATTGAACAGGGTGGGAAACAGTTCCTTAAGAGATCTCTCCCCAGTCTAGGGATCCAACCAGAACCTGATCCTTCTCCCATCCCCAACTTTGAAGCCGATTCCCCTTCTGAACAGGTTTTAAGCTCTGCATATTCCTATCCACAGGCTACACCTGTAAGTCAACAAAGGTGGACCACTACCCCAACCACTGTCGTCCAGCTCATATTTTTCTGCTATTAGTTTCCTCCAGGGGATATCAGGCTTAGCATCAAACCTCCATAACCAGCTTCCTAGCAGAGCTAGGTTGAAAGATTTTAGACTCCATTCTACAAGATGGTATTTGTGTGAATCCTTCTAGCCTACTCCCAGAAAACCTCTCATCTTCCTTTCTAAAACTTCCACCACCTCCGAGGGGATAGGAAAAAGAGATATAAAGTAAGTTGGCAAACTTGCTAGTGCACTTTTAATAAGAGTTTATCTTCCCCCCTTTGGAGAGATACCTTGCTTTCCAAGGAGCCAATTTCTGATCCATTCTCTCTATTATTGGGTTCCAAATGGTTTTAGTACACTTGGAACCCGGAGGCAACCCCAAATAATTTTTTTGAAGGTAGCTGTTCCACCTTGCACCCCAATAAATCTGCCAAACCTTGAATGTTAGGGACCTCTCCCACTGCTATCATCATCTCACTCTTTGCTAGATTTACTTTCAAGCCTGACACAATCTCAAACCAGAAAAGAAGATACTTCAGGTTCAGAACTTGCTCATCTGAAGCCTGACAGAAGAAGAGTGTATCATTAGCATATTGTAGAATTGGAATGGTAGTCCCATTGGGCTTCACTCGAAAACCCTCCATTAGCTCCCCCTCCACAGCCTTATCTACCAACTTGCTTAAACCTTCCTTGACTAATAGAAAGAGAAGAGGAGACAGAGGGTCCCCTTGTCTCAAACCTCTTGAACTGCTGAAATTTCCTCTGGCTACTCCATTCACAAGCACTGAAAATCTTGGAGTGGAAAAGCAAACTTTCATCCAACTTTCTCCACTTAGAGCCAAAGTGCATTCTGTTCAGAAAATAATCCAAGAAAGATCAATTAACATGGTCATAAGCCTTCTCTAAGTCAACTTTACAGATTAGCCCACTTTCTTCACTTCTTAGCCTTGAGTCTATTAGTTCACTTGCTATGAGAACTACATCATGAATATGCTTGTTGTGGACGAAAGCCCCTTGGTACTTAGAGATTAGAGAGTCCACCTTTTTTAACCTGTTGGCCAGAAATTTAGCTAGGATCTTGTCAACACTTCCAATCAAGCTAATCGGTCTGAAATCTTTCAACTTTGTATTACCTTCCTTTTTGGGGATGAGGGAAATAAATGTTGGATTTAAACTTCTCTCAAGGGTTGCAGAATCATGAAATTCTTCCAGGACCTTTAATAGATCTGTTTTAATGAGCTCCCAGAACTTCTTAAAAAGCAGAACTGTGAAACCATCTGGGCCTGGTGCCTTTTCCCCTTCCAACTCTTCTACAACCTTCTTAACCTCTTCCTCTGAGAAAGGTTTTTCCAAATCTAAACTCTGCTGTTCAGATAAGCATTCAAAATTCAAACCATCCAGCCTTGGTCTTTTTTTTGCAAGGTTCCTTGAAAAGATCTTTATAAAAATCTACAAAAGCATCTGCTATGACTTCCTCATTGTTCACTGCCCTGCCTTCCAATTCCAGCTTTTTTATGGAATTAACCCTCTTTCTTGCATCGGCCACCTTATGGAAGAAAGCAGGATTAATATCACCTGCTTTCAGCCACATTACTCTAGCTCTTTGCCTCCACTTGACTTCAGCTTGGTGCATTAGAGTGTCAAACACCTTCTTAGCTAAGAGCCTTCTCCTCCTTTTCTCCTCGTCCAATGACCCACTCTCCTCCTCTACATCAATATCAGCTATGATTTTCATGCACTCTTCCCTTTTTCCCACCTCCATCTTTGACATTCTCTTCTGCCAAGCCTTGAATTTTCCTTTCAACCACTTAGTTTTTTGAGGAGAACATGGCTGGATGAACCTTCAAAAGAACAATCAGATCACCACCTTTTAACATTTGTCACCAAATCCTCTGAGTCCAACTAGCAATGCTCCAACCTGAAAGGGTGGAGGTTCTTTTTCACACCACTCGTACTTAGGATCAGAGGAATATGATCAGAAATCACCCTAGGTAGTGCTTCCTGATTTGAAAGGGGAAAAAGTTCTTCCCATTCAGGTGAAATTAGAGACCTGTCTAGTCTGCACTAACAATTCTTTGAACAATTAATGTCACATTTTTCTCAAATTGCTAATGGGGATAGTTTTTCCAAGAAAGAGAATATATGAGGCTGCCCATAATCATTGGTTTTATTAATTATAATAATAATGCACATATATACATTCTTCACTCTTTTGAGAGAAGGATTCTTATCTCTTAACTTTTTACTTTCTTACATCTATGCTCAAAAGTCAAAACAATTGATCTCTTCCCACCCCTTGCTTAGCTAAAGCATCAGCTATGCTACTCACATCCCTTTTACCCATTAAAGTCTCACATCTATTCCTCCAGGCAGCAATTTGAACTTTAGTTCATTCTGATACAAGCAAAGAGCAGCCTCAACATCCTTTAGCCACCCATTGAGAGCACGATGTTGTTATAAGATGGACTTTGTAGATTTTTCTACGAAGGATACAGAAGAAATAATGAATCAGCATGAGGATGACATTGACATTTGAATTGACATAGTTTGTTAGTTAGGTAAAAAGATGGATTCAAATTGGGTGGTTGATAATGAAGTTAAAGTTGGCAAGAAATTGAGTTTGTTGTTTCTTGGGTAAAGAATTTGTAGAAAATTGTATTTTGGAATTAGAAAACAGAGATGGAATTGCAGGCGATGAATGCCCATAAAAGAATGAATGTGAATTGTTTGGTAGGGAGGGGGTATGCAAGTTGGTAGAACCACGGTTGGAACTTGGGAAGGATGTTGAGGTTCTATCGGTATGAACGAAATGGTCAAATGATGCTGAGGGTCTTGGTATGTAAAGTGGTTAGCATGGAAGTTACACAGGTGAGGTGTTGGCGGAGTAACCAGGATGGATTGATAATTCTGGTTTCAAGAGTTCCCAAGTTTCCATGGTGTTGTCTAGATGTGAGAAGGATGATAGACAAAGTTTGAAATGGGAGTTCTGTTTTTTGTTTTTTACCAGGAATTGGGTGTTGATGTTTTATTGTTATATCTTCCTTGGTGATTTCTTCCACTTCTTGAATGGTCCTTTTTATTTAATGAATATTTCTTTTATTATTAAAACGATCCTTCCTTTTTCTTCTTAAAGGTTAGGGTGGATGATGTGCTAATTTGCCTGAAGTTTTTTTATATTGCATTGTCTTGTTTTGCATTTTGTTGTTTTACTGTCCTTTATTTAATGAAATGCCATCCAGATTAGAAGCACAATAATTTGTTAGTATCAGGTTTTGATCGCTCTTTGAAAAATATTGTTTTGTTTCAGTCAACAATAGTTGATAGCTCATTAACTACAGGGATGATGACAAAGGGTTTGCAATCATGTCACGCCATCGGTATCCAATTGAGGCTTGTCGTATTTTTGAGAAGACTGATATTACAAAGTTGCAAGTAGCACTTACTTCTTCAAGGGCATATGATATCAATGACTCTGTTGAGGTTGATGGAAGTAGTCTAAATGCTTCCAATACGTCTAAAGGATCTCAGAGTAGCCAAAAAAATGGGAAGCTGGTTCCTTCAAATAAAATAGCTGATAGTAGCTCTCATGCTAAGCAAGGCACCTTGAAGTCAGTTCTTGGAGAGGTGTTGGGTTATGGACCTGCACTCGCTGAGCATATTATATTAGATGCTGGTCTGGTTCCAAACACAAAAGTTGCAAATGATGGTAAAATAGACAATAATAAAATTCAACTATTGGCTCAGGCTGTTGCTAAATTTGAAGGCTGGCTTGAAGATGTTATATCAGGTGAGACAATTCCTGAAGGATACATCTTAATGCAACACAAAGCTTTGGGGAAGAAGGACAGTCTACCATCTCAAGGAGGCAGTTTGGACCAGGTTGCTATTCAGACTAGAATCCATCAAATTGCCCTTCTACTTGATGTGTTTTAATCTGATTCTGTATATGATATTTTTGCTTCATTGCTTTGTTGGTCATTTTGTTCTCTCTCTTTTCTTGACTTGTTTACAGATCTATGATGAATTCTGCCCCATTTTACTAAACCAGTTCAAGTCACGGGAATTCACTAAGCTGGACACCTTTGATGTTGCATTGGATGAGTTTTACAGTAAAATTGAAAGCCAGAGGGCTGAACAACAGCAAAGGGCAAAAGAGGGCTCTGCCATGCAGAAACTCAGCAAAATACGCTCAGATCAGGTCTATATTTTTTCTTGCGATGCCACTAGAAGTCAAAACCCATAAAAAACTTTTAATCTAAATTTACGATTCGTTTTTATTGGTTTCTTTGCTGCCAAGGTGAATTGCAGCTTACCACTTTAACATGTTTAAAATTATAGGGCATTATGGTTGTTATTTATTATTATTATTTGCTTTTAATGAGGCTATCTGAAAAATCATGTTGTATAATCCTGGTGCAAATGGATTAATATAAGGAGATGAAAATTCGAAGTTTATCCATTCCCTTGTTAATGGAAGGAACAAAAAAAACTTCATTTTTTTTATCAGCCAAGAAAAACTTTATTTCCAGATTAGTGATAAATGAGGAAGATAACTCATCCAAAAAGGAGTGCGGAAGAGCTTGTTGATTACTTTAAAAATTTATATGGCACAGCCCCACCTCCTAGGGCTCATGTAGAAAGATTAGATTGGGGTATGCTAGATTATGATCTTGTGTGGGGTTTGGATTCTAACTCATGCATTTTTGCCATGCAAGACTGACCAAAGGCTGATGTAATCTTATCAATATGACATCATATGTCATTTCCTGATTAATGAGTGCCTATTAAACTGGTCTTCTGATGCCAGGTTGTCTTTGTTTCCATGTCTGGAAGGTCTTGGTCATGAATGACTATTTTCATTGGAATGCACTATATCTTTGGATATTTTTCCCTCCAAGGAAATAATGAATCTTTTAAGTGGTTCATATATGGTCTACTCTGGGTTATGGTTATATTTCAACTTTGTATTAATATGGCCTTTAGATAATTTTAATTTCTGGTCTTCTTGTTTTTCATCTTAGAATTCATATGGAAATCTGTGCAAACATCTCAAGTTTCATTACTCCATGTCCTTTTCTTTTAAATTTTAAATTTCTATTTGGCATTGTAGGAAAATCGTGTGCATACATTGAAGAAAGAGGTAGACCATTGTGTTAGAATGGCAGAATTGATAGAATACAACCTACAAGATGTTGATGCTGCAATATTAGCTGTCCGTGTGGCTCTTGCAAATGGAATGGATTGGGAGGATCTTGCTCGTATGGTAAAGGAAGAGAGGAAGTCAGGAAACCCTATAGCTGGGCTGATTGACAAGCTTAATCTTGAAAGAAATTGCATGACACTACTATTGAGCAACAATCTCGATGAAATGGATGATGATGAAAAGACCCGCCCTGTTGATAAGGTGTTTCCATAAGTTATAAACTCAGATTTCCACACCCTAGCATCTCCTATATGAATTAGCAAAAAAAAAAGGAATTGTTTTTATCATTAAAAAATTATTTTCCTTAATGCAATGGCATTATCTTCATTAGTACAACTATACTATTTTTTTGCATATACATATAAATGTCTATGCATGTATTACTTTTGATGTCATGCATCTTCACATCTATGTGTCCATCTGGAAACATGGTTTGTTGTTCACTATCTGTTTCTTTTACAGGTAGAAGTCGACTTGGCACTTTCAGCACATGCCAATGCTCGAAGGTGGTACGAATTAAAGAAGAAACAAGAGAGTAAACAGGAGAAAACTGTTACAGCACATGAGAAAGCTTTTAAAGCAGCTGAGAGGAAGACTCGTCTCCAACTTTCACAGGTAGCATACATGGTGAAAGAAATTATCTTCCAGAATTTATTTTGTGCTTGCAATTTTTTTTATCAGTAATGAAATAAGTTTATTAATTTGAGTTAATTTGCAATTACAATTTACAACAGAGCTGGGAATGAATACCAAGCCACAAACATGTTGCATCAGCGTTTTACAAAACTTTCCAGACCCATATATTATGTGCTTGTATTTAATACACTATATTAAAGGAGTTTAAAATTCCACATCTAGAGTGTAAGATATATTAGCTTGATAATTGATATTCCCATTATAACCTTTGTCTTCTAAATCTTGCATTCCTGATCTTATACAACACACTTTTCCCTTTCAATTGGAAGGCCTGGGCACCGATTCTTATTTGTAAAGTTCTGGCATCTTGTTTATCCATTACCTTTATTTGCAGGAAAAGTCTGTTGCTGCAATCTCACATATGCGTAAAGTTCACTGGTTTGAGAAATTTAATTGGTTCATCAGCAGTGAAAATTATTTAGTTATCAGTGGACGTGATGCTCAACAGAATGAGATGATCGTCAAACGCTATATGTCAAAAGGAGATATGTAAGTGGATGCTCTTAAAATGAGGATAAGCTTCTCTCTATTAATGTTTTTTATAACTTTTGGTTCTGTAGTTAAAGGTTCTATTATTTTGAAAAAGATGGCTATCCATCCCAGCTGGAGCAAAGATGTGGTATACCATATTGTTCTCTCCAAGAATTCTCAGCATGAGGCTTTTTGTTGCTAGGTTCTTCTACATATGTTTGCAAACATATTTGGGATGGTGGCTCTTATCCATTGATTTAAAAGGTGTGCCTAGGTACATAGGCGAGGCACATTTTCAAAAGGTGCACGCTTTTTCAAAATTTGTGCATTTTGCTCTTTTTTAAGCCTAGTGGCTAGGCCAAGGGATTCACCCCTGGACTCCAAACCATGCCCCTTCCCTTGAGGCAAGTCCAAACAAGTCTATGTTAAGGTCTTAAATTTTTAATCCTTACAGAAAATGATTTTATAATTTTAATTGTCTTTTAAAAATATTTTTTATTTGGATGAATAAACGAACAACATTAGCAAGTAGGGGGTTTTTGGAGCTCCAGCCTCCTATTTGCTTATGTTGTTCATTTATTAATCCTAATAAAGATATTTTTAAAAGAAAACAAAAAATTTTAAAATATTTTTTTAAGGATTAAGAAGTTATGACCTCAACATAGATTTGTTTGGGTTTGCCTGAAGGGGCTTGGTACAAAGGTGGCTCGTAGAATCCAGAGCACGAAATGTTTAACATCACATCAACTACTTGAAGTAGTGCAATTGGGAAAAAATAAAGTGGAGAATCCCTATGCTCTACTCCTTCCCCTTTGTTGTTCCCAGTTAAAGAAGTATGGTCAAGGCCAATTCCACCTAAAATTGCTGGTTTTTGTTGGGAAGTGTATCATGGTAAAATTAATACTGTGGACAATGTACAAAAAGAGAGACCTTATTCATGCTTGTCCCTCAATTGGTGCATTTTATGTAAAGTGGAGAATGAGGACTGTTATCACCTACTGATTTCTTGTTCTTTTACAGTAAATATTTGGAATTGGGTTTTTATGTTGTTTGGGTACAGGTGGTACTTTCCTCCTGAAGTAAATCTGCTTTTTGATCCGCCTTTTTTTGGTTGGCCAACAAAGAGAGGGAAAGTAATGTGGAAAAATGTATTAGGGCAGCCCCTCTTATGGACCATTTGGGAGGAAAGAAATGCTAGAATTTTCTAGGAGGAGAGAAGCATTGCTGAAATAAAGGATTGTATATTGACAAGGGCAATCATTTGGCTAAAAACTACTGATCTCTTTGCGGATTACTCTAGTGATGACCTTCGAAGGAGTTGGGCAGCTGTGGCCTCCACTAATGGAGGGGGCTCTGAGGTAGTTGTGTGTTGGCTGAAGAAAAACAAAGTTTGGAAATACCAGACATATCTTGATGAGAATAAGATATCTAGCCAGGGAATTGAGAGCCACTTTTTCATGTATTTGAAGTTCGGTTAATGGTTTTCTCAATCTAATGGCTTAAGTGCTAAACAAACAGTGTTCAGCTTGTTTTCTTTTGTTGAGGAATTGTCTGATGACTGTAATAAGGGAAAGGATAGCAGAAGCTAGTTTATGGTTAAGGGGTGCTTGGCACTTCGCTGCAAGTAATTTATTCTTTATTTCATAATTAACAAATATTTAGCAAAAGCTAAAATCTTGATATGTGTACTCATGTGAGAAGGGACAATGCTTTAGCTACTAATAAAGTTAGGATCTAGACTCCAAAATCAAACCCAAATGTGCAACCAAATTTATGAGCCTCTAGATAGGTCCAAAGTCAAGCCTATATCCAAGGCAAACCATAGCCAAATCCAAGCTTAAGCCCACAATACACATATTCCAGCCTAAAACCATGATCACATCCAAATCTAAGCACATGACTCATACCAAAAACCTAAATCCATGACCCATTTTTACCAGCCCATAAATCTTGAAAACATGAACAGACAATTGAATGCATCTTGTGTCCCTTCAGAGGTAGCTTTTCTGGTACGGACAGCTGCATTAGATAAATGCCTTGCAGGCACAAAACTTCAAAGAAGGGACATGGCTGTGGACAGGGTTAATTGTGATCAAAGAAGGCATATTTTTCAGTCACTAGAGTATAGACAACTTCCTTCATAACTGGAAGTTGAGAGGACTAAATAAGAGAGAAAAGGCAGTGTGGGAGATGATTCCATTTGCACTTTGTGGACAATTTGAGGTGAGGGAAATGGAAAATCTTGAAAACAAAATTAATTCAGATAAGATTACTGACAAACAGGTGATGGATATTCTGTGTTCATTGGTGGCTAACCCACAAGTCTTTTTAAGGGAGTTAAAAAAATAAAGGTTATTACTCAATTATGGCCCCAGCCCCCAGCTATCTGGAGTCTTGTGAGGGGTAGGGGAGTATCTTACAACATTTTTTAATTGAAAACATAATAGTGAACAGACCATCTTTTTAATATAATATATGTTAGTAGATTTGCAATGCATAGTGCCTTAGTGTACATAAAAGTCAATGCAATCTCTTTTTGCTGCTTATATACTTGTTCAAAAAAAAGAACAGAAAACACAAAAAATAATGAATGCATCTCATATTAACTTTTAAGGTGGTGTTTCTTAAAGTTAAAGGCATGAAAAGTTAATAAGTTAATGGCATTTTTGGATTGGTAACTTGAAAAATATTTCATTGATAAAGGAAATGGTATAGACTATAGAGACTATTTGTGCAATGTGTCATTATACATTTTATTTATAGTCAAGCTGTTATGGAGCCAGCCCATTGCTGCTCCCCCGTGTCTACCTAAAATAGCCCAATTAAGCTTTTTATTACATCTAAAGGATAGTTTCCCCATGATCGCCACTCTTGATTTACTCCATGAGCTAAAGAATCCATAAGAGAGTAGGCAGACTGAGAGACCCATGTATCAGCTGATTCAGCTTACAATGAAAGAAGGAAGTATAGAACCTTCCTGTTGGACAAAGATAAGGAGGCTGAAGCGAAACTGGAGACTAAAGCACTAGAAGAGGAAGATGAAATCAGCCTAGATGAAACTCAAGAAACTGGAAACAGATGGATTTGGAAACGGTGGTCAACAAAGAAGTGAAAGTAAGTAAAATTCTGGGTTTATTTTTTCTCGGAAGGGAGGAATCTGCAGAAAAGCTTTTAAAGAGTTTGAAGGAGAACCTTGTAGAAAACACAGCGTGGAAGAAGCTTTGGTAAACTCGGCCCAAGGGGGGTTCACAAGAAAGCTGGTAGAAAATAAAGAAGCATCAAGGGGTTTGGAAATTAAAGAGACTGCCTGTGAAGACCCTGGAGAGGAGGTGGTAGCTCAAACGTTTGAGAAAAACATGGTGTTCGAATTAGAGAAATTAAATGAGCATAAGGAGGATTTAGGATCCAAAGAGCATATGCCCAATGCAGTAAGGAGGTCTAGAAACAAGAAGCAATTACGAACTGTTCAAGTCTCAACAGTTTTGAGCAGATTGAAGTAGGGACTTTTGGGGAAAGGCACTAGCAAGAAAATTAAGAAAGAAAACAGAAATTATAGTACATCGATTAAGGAAGGGAGTATTAAAAGGTTTGTTTAGGGATAAGATGGTTTTGGGAAGTCCTTTTGGGTGAGATGGTTGGATGTGGTTGATTGGGGTCTATGTTCTTTTTGGAGCATTGTCTTTATTTTCTCTCTTTAGTTGAAGGTTTTTGTGTTTCTTTAGTTGATGGGTGATGGATTTTGTTCGGAACAATGTTTTAAACGCAAAGGGTGACACAAGATGCTCCACTACCTAGAGGCAGAAACCTCCCGAACACAAGGAGGTGTAAGCCTCATTAAGAGGAGGGGGGAGGAGGAAGAAGTAGAAGGAGGATCTCATTTTTCTTTATTTTTAATTAGAATCTTTTATATTAAGGAAAGATCATCCCAATCGGACATCAAATTGCAATGTTATGGCCTCTGGTAGTTTGTATTCATATTTAGTGTGCAACCTGTGACTTGGTCACCAGATTGAATGGATCAACAGTCCAACTGCCCGAGTTAGATAGTTTTTGACTTGGTCAACAATTTTGACCAATTTCTGGGTTTAACTAGAACTGGACCCAGAATCATGGCCATGTGACAGTTCGAATGGTACAACTGGTCGGATTAAACTAGAATTGGACCCAGAATCATGGCCATGTGACAGAATAGAAGTCCCAAAATACACATCATACCTAATATACTTGAGAAACTGAAGAAGAAAAATATGAATTGCCTTCCAAAGTGTTGCCAATGTGGCCCAACAAGATACACTAGCATCCCAACCACTCTAAACAACCATAGATACTTGCCACCACTTCACTCCACAAACTTCCACTTTCCAACGGCCACCTCCACAGCCATTTTCCTAATAGTGTTGCATTGTTTTGTACCACATTTCCTAATCCTAAACCCCCCTTCCTCTTTTGCACACAATCTCCCTCTAAATTAAATGGTTTTTCTTGCTTTCCCTCAGCTCCCAAAGAAAATCTCTCATAAGTTTCTCTAATTTGTTGACTTTCTAGAAGGGATCCTAAACATAGAGAGAAAGTAGGTAGGCAAATTGGCAAGAGTAGTCCTAATCAGTGTGATACACCCTCTCAATACGATATAATTCTTTTTTTTTCTTTCCAAGAAGCTAAACTCTTCTTAAACTTTTCTACCATTGGGTTCAAAAACCTACTCTCCCTAGGGTTGGCTCCTAACGAAAGGCCCGGGTACTTCAAAGGCCAAATAGAGATACACCTAAGACAACCGCAATAGCCTTAACTTCCCTATTCTCCATATCACCTATTATGCAACTTTTGCCCAAGTTAATAAAGCCTTTCAAACCTTCTTATTAATTCTTTTAGATTCCTTAACTTTCTAACCTCAACCCCTTGACAAGAAATAATTATATCATCTACAAACTGAAAGTGGGTAATTGAAAAATCATTTCTTCCTAATATCCAACCTCTAATCAAGTCCTCCCTATCGGCATTCAACAAACGGGATCATCCTACTAAACAAATAGGCTACTAAGTGAATAGAAATGGACAAAGGGGATCACCCTACCTAACACCCATAGAAGCTAGTAAGAAGTCCTTCACTACTCCATTCACCAAAACAGAACAGTGGCAAGAACTAATGCAACCAAACACCCAATTACACCATCTTTCCCCAAAGCTGTAGTTTCTTAACACCTCTAATAAAAGCTTCCTGTCCACCAAATCTTAGGCTTTTTGAAGCTCCAATTTACACACAAGGCCCTTTTGCCTAGATCTTCCATGCTCCTCCACACATTCATTAGTAATCAGAATCTGTTATATTATTTGTCTTCCATGTATAAAGCCCCTTGGGTTTGACTAATGAGAGAAGGGAGGACCCCTTTAATCCTCAAAGAAATGACTTCAACTAAAAATTTATAAATACTACTCACCAAGTTGATCGATCAAAAGCCCTTCAAGTGACTAGCAACTAAGGCCAAGAAAGTGGCATTAACTCTTGGGCTGACTATGATTATCTAGAAACTCCTTAAAAACATTGCACAACTCATCCTTCAATACTTCTGGTAGTCTTGATAGAAAGCCATTGTGAAACCATCTGGACCCGAGGCCTTGGATCTATCCATTAGAAAAATTGTCTTGTGTATTTTCCTCCTCAAAATTTCTCTCCAACCAGCTTGCTTTTTCATAACCCAAACTTGGTCATTCCAAACCTTCTACCCACAACTTGTGATTCAATGGCCTTCTATAAATGGATTTGAAGTGATCCACAAAGATCCTAAAATTCTCCTCTTGGGTAGAGATCACTTCCCTATCAATCTCTAGCTTGGCCACAAATTTTTCTCCATTTTTTTTGTCTTTTTTTTTTATGAACGAATGGTATTTTATTAAATAGAGATAGAAATAGTACAAGCATGAAGCACCCTAAGAGGAAGCATGACGTGTAATCTCCCCTTAAAGGTGGTTCCAAACCCAACTCTTTTCAGATTACACTGGCAAAATAGCCAAAAACAGAGAATCCCTTGAAGCCCCTTGTTTAGCTAAAGAATCTACCAAAGCATTTGCCAATCTACTAACCCACTAAAAGCTAACTAACATGGTTCTCGTAAGCCATTTGACTTTCTTGATGATGTCCTTATATCCCCAAACAACAGTTTCTGGGTCCGACATCCATCCCACCATCTCCTTAGAGTCTCCTTCAACTATCAAATTAGTCACTCCAAGTTGGTTGGAAATCTGCAGTCCTTGTACCACAACTAATATCTTGGCCCTTGTAGAGTCTCCATAACCCACTGGACCTGAGAATAAGGACAGAATGTTGCCATCCTTATTCCTCAAGATCCCTCCTATACTTGAAGGTCCTAGATTGCCTTGGCTGCTCCCATCAAGGTTCAACTTTACAACTCCTTCCAAAGGGGGTAACCAACTTGCTTGTGTTCTATTTTTCTTGGATGACAATTGCATATGCATTATATAAATGGAACTACCAAAGGTTTCTAGGCTATAATTTTCGATATCAAATGTAACTTCTTATCAATAAAATTGTTTTGGAAATTTGTGCTATAAAAAGAAAAGAGAAGAGAAAAGATGTGTTTAATTCATTATGATTTTTTTTGCTTATATAACTGATTTTGAACGTGAAACAGATATGTCCATGCAGAACTCCATGGAGCTTCGAGTACTGTGATCAAGAACCACAAACCAGAACATCCAGTACCTCCTCTTACTCTAAACCAAGCAGGATGTTTCACTGTAAGTTAGCCGTTTGGTTTTTTGGTTTGGTGGTGTATCTGAGAGGGTTATTTAGGTAATTAGGTATATGCAATTTGTTTTGACTTGAATGTTTTCCATTTGTAGGTTTGCCACAGCCAGGCATGGGATTCGAAGATTGTAACAAGTGCTTGGTGGGTCTATCCCCATCAAGTGAGTAAAACTGCTCCTACAGGAGAATATCTTACAGTAGGAAGTTTCATGATTCGTGGGAAAAAGAACTTTCTTCCCCCACACCCTCTTATTATGGGTTTTGGGTTATTATTTCGCTTGGATGAAAGCTCATTGGGATCACATTTAAATGAGAGGAGGATAAGAGGTGAAGAGGAAGGGGGAAATGACATGGAAGAAAGTATGCCTCTTGAAGAAAATTCTGATCCTGAATCTGAAAAGGATGTTGCTGGTGAAGAAATGACAGATACAAAAAAAGAATTGAGTGACCTTTCAGATTTAACATTAGATCATTCTAAGATGAAACTTGATGGCTTGTCTAGAGATCCCATTGAAGGCGTGACTACTGAGCTGAATGGCATTGAAAATGAGAATGTATCTGACACCACAGGAAAAAGTTCACCTTCTATCTCACCCCATCTTGAAGATCTCATTGATAGGGCTCTTGGGCTTGGATCTTCTAACTTCTTGAGTAAAGATTATGAGCTCAATTGTTCTAATGCAAACTTGGTGGAGGATAGCCATTGTGAAGAAGGAAAACAAGCAGCAAGAGATAGGCCATATATCTCAAAAGCTGAAAGGCGAAAGCTCAAGAAAGGCCAGAAAAGCAGCTCTAATGATGCAGCTGTTGAGAATGAAAGAGAAGAGTACAAAGAAAATAGGATTTCAGGCAGTCATGCAGATGAAAGTTCTCAGAAGGTAAAACAGTCTGGTGGAAAGATCAGCCGTGGCCAGAAGAGCAAACTCAAGAAGATTAAGGAAAAGTATGCAGAACAAGATGAGGAAGAACGTAAAATTCGTATGGCTTTACTAGCTGTGAGTAACTTCATTTCATTTTTATTCTATCTGGATCATTGAGTAAATAATTTTCAGGGTCAGTAAGAGTATTTCTTGTATATTTTTCTTCTTTCAGTGAATATGTTTACCATTTATTATTAAATATTATTCTGTATGTGCTCCTACCACTTTATGTGGTATTGATTGGTTTACATGCTTTTTACTAACATCAATATGACAATTTTCAGTCTGCTGGGAAAGTACTGAAAAATGAAGAGGAGCCAGAAGATGGACTTGTAGAAACTGACAAGGGAAAGAAATCAGTTTCTGGTATGTAAAATGAAAGACATCCATTTACAGTTATCAATGTACAATTGTGGTAGATACATTACAAGGATGGTGGAATTGTTTACGAAAGTTTAACAATTGGAAATCAACAACAATAATGGCAATGGTAATGAATGTCTCTGTGGTCACTCAGGGCTAAATGGCTGACAACTCCTTGAAACATTGGAAATTATTAACCCTTCTTGTAATTTGACTGTGAAAATATGAATTATCCCCAAAGAGGCATCATACACTTCCTGTCTCACCATTTGATTCCTGATCTTGTACAAATGTAACTTCATTCCTTTCTCTATTGAGATTTTTTCCTTGTTTTGGCTTTTCTTACATGTAAAGGAGGGCGTCACTATCATTCATAGCTTTTCACCAAGTAGGGATGATCATGGGATGGGCTGGGCCGATTCTTCTTAGTGCATTTGCATTTTTGTGGGCTCTTTCTTACTCAAACCAAAGAAAATGAGTTTGAACTTTCATGTTCAAAACATAGGTTGGCTGAAAATTTTCATTTACCTTATCAGTAACAAAGAGAGGTATTATTAATAATAAGTAAATTGTAAACAAATATCCACAAATGATTGGAAATCAAATTACATGACAGTAAACAGACTATGACTAAAGCAATAAAAATAAGTATTAGAAACAAAGAAAAACCAGCTCCATACTGAGCCCCCGCCCTAGTGAATGGTGAACCCTATACTAACCTGTGAACTCCCTTTTCAAGAGAACCAGCAAGGTAATTGGCTGTTATGTGGATCCATCTAAAGGAATTCTTTATTTTTTTCATCGAAATGAATTCTTCATTCTAAATGCTAGGGCCATTTGAATTAGCTGAAGTTTGGATTGTGACTTGTAAGCGATATGAGTGAGTTTGGAAAAAGTGAACCAAGTTAAAATGCATAACCTTAAGAGGTACCACCGGGATTGGACTAGCTGTTATTTGTTGATATCTGCTGCTAATACATCTGGACTGAAATCTGAAGTGCAGTTCTTGATGTTCAACTTTCCCAGAATAAATAGTCAGGACAACTTTTTCGAGAATAAGTTCTCTATTGATCTAGTGAACTTTTTGATGGTTTAGACCAATGTTAAAGGAACCATATATTTCATGAAGAAAAGCTTTTCCTTCTGTGTTACATAGATACTAGTTATTACAAAATGTTGTCCTGTATCTGACAGAGCATACACCAAATTGACATGGGGCTTAGATTTTTTGAGGGTCTTTCAAGGTGGGATCTCCTTCATAAACCTGATTATTCCTCCTAGCCATCTTTACTGTCTGCTAACTAGAGGGTTTAGATGGGTAATTTGATAAAGAATCAACACTTGTTAAAGGGCATGTTTTTCAACCTTTTGCCTAATAGAATGGCAGTTGTCAGCTTTTTAATTACAATAGTTTTGAATGTAACTGTTTTTATTGAACTATGCTGAATTTTATCCTGCATTTATATTTTCTCTTCTGCACATTAATTTTCATTATAATTTTTAATTGCAACTATTTCTGACAACTACTGTTTTTCTTCCTCCAACTTAGCAGGTCTAGATGATGCTCTGAAGATATGTTATAAATGTAAAAAGGCGGGTCACTTATCTCGGGACTGCCCAGAACATCCAGATGACACTAACCACTCAAAGGCAGTTATCCATAAGAAAATGAATGGAGGGGGTCCTGAAGATATTCCAGATGTATTGTTGGATGACACAGCTACCAACATGGACAGGATCACTATAGAGGAAGATGACATTCATGAGATTGGTGAAGAAGAGAAGGGAAAGTTAAACGATGCTGATTATTTAACTGGGATTCCATTGCCTAACGATATTCTCTTGTATGCTGTGCCTGTCTGTGGTCCGTATAATGCATTGCAATCATACAAGTACCGGGTGAAAATAACCCCTGGCACTGCAAAGAAAGGAAAAGGTATTCAGATTTCTCCCACTGTAATCTACAAGCACTTATTTGCACGTTAAAAGCGGATTACTGCTATTCTAATATTGTAGACCATGTAGAATAGCAGTTATTTGCATTTTCATGTAGGGAGGCTGTTTTTTGGGCTAGTTTTTAATATTTTTCTTTGCATTCCCTGTGTTTTCTGTTTTTGGGGAGCTAAGTTATTTTATCTCCCCCTTTGTATACTTATTCCCTCTCTTATTGATCAAAAAAAAAAGGTGGAAACTCATCTTCTCCATGTATTTTGAAGTGTTATGCTTATACCAGAGCATCGTTTAGTCCCCTCCCCCTAAGGCATGGCTCAGGCATGTGGCGAGGCACATTTTAGGGTATGCACCCCTGGTGCCTATGCATCCCAGGCATAACACTTTCAAAAGGCCACGCCCCTGTTGTGCCTAGGCGTGCCCCTGATGCACCTTTTGAAAATTTGTGCAATTCTTTTTTTCTGTTTTTTATGCTTAAAAGCTGAGCCGGGGGCTCTGCCCCTGGACCCTGACCAAGCCCCTTGAGGCAAAGCCCAAAAAGTCCATATTGAGGTCTTAAGTTCTTAATTCCTATAAAAAAGATTTTATAACTTTAAGTGTTGTTTAAAAATATCTTTTATTAGGATGAATGAATGAGCAATATTAGCAGATATAGGATTTTTGGAGCTCACTTGTTTGGGCTTGCCTCAAGGGGCTTGGTACAAAGGGGGCTTGTAGAATCAGGAGTGCATAATGTTAACATCATATTAGCTATTTGAAGTACTCCAATTGGGGAAAAAAATAAAGAGAATAGAAGTTTACATGCTTGAATATGTTTTATATGTTATGCTTGATTTTATTTTTAAATTTTCATTTTAAATATGTTTACATGTTATGTTTATGTATTTTAAACATTTATTTTAAAATTTTAGTTTATATTTTAATTAATGTTGTGTTTAAATTAATATTTTGCATTTTTTGAAAATTTTGGCATTTTTGTGCTTTGCTTCAAAAAAGTCTGTGCCTTGTGCCTCGAGCACAAAATGGCCCTTGTGCTTTTTCGCGCCTTCCGCTTTTAACACACTGGCAACCAGACAGGTTTGGATTGTCGATTTTAGTGGAGGTTGTTTTGAATTGAGTAGATGTATTCTTTGTTGTTGGCTCTATTTACAACTAATTGTCCTCATTACAGGTTTTGAAGAGAATTTAAAAAGGACATATATATCCACTTACCTTTCATATAAAAGAAGACATTTCAGGATTGGTATCCTGGATGTCCCTATTTTAGTAGATTATGTTTTTATTAAATGCATTAGAAGACGATGAATGATGAGTCTGTTAATTCCTCTTCCAAATTGCATACGTGTCTCACTATTAATTTCATTTATCCAGAGATACAGGTACGTAGCTCCTTGGATAGGGACTAGCCAAAAGTAGGCTGAGTAAACACATTCTCTTAGCTGCTAACCCTGACACCTAAATGCTAAACTCTAGTCAGTGTCAGTATATACTTTTTGCGGCATGCCTTTCCAGAATGATAATCCATTTGTTGAATGATGTTGATTGGCTGATTGTTGATATGGATAAACCCATCAATATGGATTCCTTGCTATTTTTTATCCTTCATTTCAATTTAGAAGGCAATTTTTCTTTTTTCTTTTCAATATTTTGTTATAATTCATTAATGTTTCCATTGGCACGTTTTTCTTATTGGTTAGACTTAGACCATTAGCATGTTCGTGAATAATATATTTGATTGAATTTACTTCTGTTTGGTACAGCTGCAAAAACTGCAATGAATTTGTTCGGTCACATGCCTGAAGCAACAAGCAGGGAAAAGGAACTCATTAAAGCTTGTAGTGAACCCGAACTAGTGGCTGCAATGATCGGCAATGCAAAGATCACAGCTGCAGGCCTTACCCAATTAAAGCAGAAGCAAAAGAAAGGAAAGAAGACCAGCAAAGAAGAGAGGTAGCACTGAGGTTGTCAGCATTTTTTAATTTTATTTTCTCTATTTGCTTATGGAACCATGCAAGCAGCTTACTTGGACAGACCCCTTCTCAGGGTGGTTGTTTCCTTTTCGGAGAGTTTTTTTGTACAGTTTTAGTTGCATGTAATTAGTATATTATATGTTTCAAGGAAGATCAAATCAACAAGATTAATAAAGTTATTTTCTATTTTGCTTACATGTGTTCAAAGCGGCGTTTCTGAATTCTGTCTTGACGGTGGTAATCAGAGAAAATTATCTCATAAGATGAATTGAGCCAATTGTTTACTTGTGTCTTTAAGGTTTCTTCGTGCGAATACTAGCTCAGGGCATAAGCTCTCTAGTCTCTGCTAGTCTCTTCCCCCTTTTCTGCATCGCATCTCTCTACCCAAAAGCCCTTTCGCCACCAGTCCTATCCCTTTCGTGCGAAAACAATTTGGAAAAACCACTCAAGCCCAACTATTACAGCCCAAATTTGTAATGGAAATGAACCAACATACCAACTTCAACCACGTTACCCAAATTAAATCCACTCGGGATTTCCTACTCACTTTTCCTACCCACACTCTATATTCGCCGAGAATTGGAATTGGAGCCATACATCTCTATTATGAATTGAGAGATGTGTGGCTACAATTCACGGTAGGTAGAGAGTGGGTAGCAAAAGTGAGTAGGAAATGTGGGCTTAATTAAATCACCATGCTGCATCGTGAAACTTAGTTTGCACACATTCCTTTGTGACCATGGATTGTATCACATGGAACAATTAAAACGTTTTGAGAAATGGTTTCTTTAACAAATGAGATGGACAATGATTTAAAGTCCTTCCCTAAGGCCATGTTTGGTTTGAAGGAAAAGATAGAGAAAGGAAAGGAAAGGAAAAGTAGGGAAATCTATACAAAGTTTGTAAAGGTTCCCTTACCTTTTCTTTCCTTTCCCTACCTTTTCCCTCAAACCAAACATAGCCTAAAGTTTAAAGGTTTCAATGAAGGTTTTGAGGTAGGTTGGAGCAAGCAATTTGAGGAAATTCAGAAACGGATGCATCTAGTCCATTTGTTTGATATTAAATGTTTCAACAGTTCGAACTAGTAGAGAATGAAGGAGAGAGAGAAGAAGAAGAGGAGGAGGAAGAAGAATAAACAATCGAACTAGAGAGACTAAACCCTACAAGTCAGCCATAATGTGTATTATGTTGTAATTGGTGTACAAGGACAAAACTACCCCCACTTAAGTATGGCACAAGAGAACTACAGAAGTATCAAAATTGCTACATCAGCATATAACTTAAACATGATGAAAAGATTAATCAATCCTTATTCGACCAACTCTAACACTCCCCCTCAATCTGGAGAATATATGTCATATAATCCCAGCTTGTTACATATATAGTTCATTATCCCTGAGTTCAAACCTTTTGTAAACAAATCTGTTCACTGATCGCTCCCACATGTTCTGTTCTTATCTCTCCAGTAAGGACTTTGTCTCTCACAAAATGGCAATCAATCTCTATGTGCTTTGTTCTCTCATGGAAAATTGGATTAGATGAGATGTGAATTACAACTTGGTTATCACCGTACAATCTCGTAGGTTTGTCCATTGATAATCCAATCTCTTATAGGAGATTTTTCGGCCATACTAATTCACATGTAGTGCATGCCATGGCTTTGTACTCGGTGTCAACACTACTTCTTGCCATAATGGTTTGCTTCTTACTCTTCCATGCCATCATATTTCCTTCAAGAAATGTGCAATAACCTGTAGTAGGTCTTCTATTTGACACTAAGCTTGTACAACTTGCATCTGCATACCCAACTATCTCAAGTCTTCCTCCTAGTTTGTAGAATAACCTATGGTCTATAGCTCCCTTCAGGTACCCTACAATTCTAAGTACTGCATCCCAGTGAAGTATCTAGAGATTTTGCATAAATTGACTCACCACATTAACAACAAAGGAGATGTCTGGTCTTGTGATGGTCAGGTACTTCAGCTTTCCAACTAACTGTCTATATCTTCTAGGATCATCAAATATTTCACTTGTACCACTACTCAACTTAACATTTGGTTCCATGGGAGTTTCAGCCAGTTTCACACCTAACAACCTTGTTTCATCTAGCAGATCAAGGACATATTTTCTTTAGCATAGGTTTACACCTTGTTTTGACCTAGCAATTTCTATACCTTAGAAATATTTCAACTTCCCAAGGTCTTTTGCTTGAAAATGGTCTTGTAGAAAGGCCTTTAGTCTGTTAATCCCTAACCTATCACTGCCAGTTATGACAATACCATCCACATAAACTACTAATAAAATCTTTCCGGCTTCAGAATCATAGTTGAACACTGAGTGGTTGACCTGACATTGTTTCATTCCAAAATTTTTTACTTCACTGAACTTCCCAAACCAAACACAAGAAGATTGTTTCAACCCATAATTTGCCTTTTTCAGTCTACACACCTTACCATCCTCCCCCTGAGCAACAAACCCAGGTGGTTGTTCCATATATACCTCCTCCATAAGGTCACAATGGAGGAAAGCATTTTTAATGTCAAGTTGAAACAGGGGCCGATCATACATAACTTCTAAGAAAATGAAGACATGGACTAAACCAATCTTTGCCACAGGAAAGAATGTCTCCATATAGTCCACCCCATACAATTGAGAATAACCTTTAACATCCAGTTGGGCCTTCAACCGCTCCATACTATCATTTGACAAGTCCTTAATATTATGCACCCATTTACAACCTACAACATGTTTACTTGGAGGAAGAGTAGTGAGCTCCCACGTGTGAGTATGCTGAAGAGCAGACAGTTCCTCCTCTATTGCTTGATGCCACTCGGGTGAAGGGCCTCCTAGACATCCTAGGGTATAAATATAGAAGACAACAGAGAAACAAATTGGTGATGTGAAGCAGAAATGTGAGAGACAAGAACAAAATTGGAAATGGGATGTAGGGTACAACTACATTTACCTTTCCATAAACGTAGGATCCGCAGACGAGGTAGAAGTCGGAGGAGGTGCCAGCGTCTTCCAATGAGTATACACATGCTAGATCAGTGGTCATTCAATAGGAATTTGCATTGGAGGAGGTGAAGGTTTAGCCCTAACGGGAAAAACCAAAACGGAATCACTAACTAAAAGAGGAAGAGGAAGTAATGGTGGAGATGACGATACTTTAGGTCTCGAAAAGAATGATATAGACTAAAAAAGGGTGACATTAGGATAGACATAGGACTTCCGGGTGATGGGATTCTAACACTTGTACCCTTTCTAGGTTCGAGAATAGACAAGAAAGATACACTTAATAGAGTGTGCATCCAGCTTGTCAAACCAAGACTCAGATTGTGAATAAAGCACACATAGCCAAAGACCCGAGGTGTTAATGGAAAGGGAGATAAGGTGGGGAACAAAATAGAAAAGGGAGACCGACTGTGAAGGATAAAGGAGGGCATCCGATTAATAAAAAAATAAGCAGTAAGCATAGCGTCACTCCAAAGTCATTTAGGAACATTCATATGAAGAAGAATAGACCAAGTAGTTTCAAGGAGATGACGGTTCTTTCATTCAGCCACTTCATTTTGTTGAGGGGTAGATGCACATGAAGTTTGATAAATGATTCCATGCTATTCCAAATGCTGTTGAAAAGAAGTAAGAAAGTAATCACGACCATTATCTGAATGAAAAAATTTTATTGGAACACCAAATTGCATATGCATTTCAACATGGAATTTTTGAAAATAGAAAATAATTTATTCATTTCTTTCATTAAATAAATTCATGTTATCCTTGAACAATCATTAATAAAAATGACAAAGTACTTATAACCATTATAGGACTCTATTTTAATCAGACCCCAAACATCTGAATAGACTAAAGCAAAAAGATTCAACATACGACTATCAACTCTACGACTGAAGGAAACCCAATGGGGTTTCCCATATTGACATGACTCACACTATAAAGAAGAAAAATGACTTAAAGAAGGAACAGGTAGTTTGAGTGCCTTGAGAGATGGATGCCCCAACTGACAATGCCATCGTGGAGGAGTTAAGGAAGTTTGAAGTGCAACTGACGATCCACCATCGTCAAGATAATACAATCCACCTATCTTCTTCCCCATCATAGGATCCTGAAAAACACAAGATGAAGGAAAAAATGTAACATATCAATTAAGGGTCTTAGTTAATTTACTAACTGACATAAGATTGATGAAAATTTAGGCACATATAGAACAAATGATAATGAAAGAGATGTCGTGTCAACATTACCAACACCACAGAATGGGGAAGATGAACCATTGGCCAGGGTAACTGTTTGAGATGTTAAAGTTTTAGAGAAGAAAGAAAACACACCTGGAGTCTCGGTCATGTGATTAGAGACTCTAGACTCAATAATCCAGGGAGGGGGTTTGGATGCCAGGTAGGCCATACTTGAGTGTGCAAGAGTGGTTGTAGTATGTTGTGAAGTAGCTTGAAAGAACCTCTTATACTCATCTCGTGGTACACTCATCTCCTTCCCGGAAGTAGAGGTAGATGTGGAAGGTATTTGATCTGTCTATTGGTTATCACTCACATCAACCCCTCTAGCAATTGCATGATTAGCCATTTAGAAGGTGGGCCATGTAGATCATAATAGAAATTAACTGAATGTCCTTTCTTGCCATAGTGTGTACACTTCTTAGTAGTGTTGCATCTTCCTTTACCACGACCTCCCCCTGAGTCACAACCACCACCACAACCAAACATGAAACCATCACGACCTCCTTGAGATGCATGTCCTTGCCCTCTATTACCATGACCACCTCCTCTTGCTACAACAAATATTGATCTGTTAGTTGGGGTGGTACTCTCTGTTGATCCCAAAAGAAATTATGCAAAGCTGTGCAAATACTTCATCAACTGTAAGAAGAGCAGAACCTCCCAATATTTGTGCTCTAACTAATTCATATTATGATTTCAGCCCCACTAAAAACCTAGTGACATCCAGTTGCTCCCTCTATTGTTGTTGAGCTTTAACATCTAGAGCTAGGGGATGATAAACATTGAGTTCATTCCTGAGGTTTCTCATACTGGCATAATACTATTCTAGGGTTTGATTCCCTTGCTGTAGATTGAAATACTCATGATAGAGCTGATATACTCTCATAGTATTATCCTGTTTAGAATATAACTTTTTGGAATGTTCCCATATGTCCTTAGTTG